AAAGACATCACTCAGGACACCAAAAGAGATGCAAACGTCTTACCCACGGAGGCTACAAGTGCAAACACTTCCAGCATCTCCTCGCAGTACAAAAGTCTCTGAGCCGCATCAAGGAGCCCCCACTCCTCCTGAGAGAAGGCAATGGCCACGTCCTCAAAGTTCATATCCTGTCATAATGGGGACAGTTCAGCACATGATCAATTCCTTCCTAGGATTCCAAGTTTTTCATACCCCTCACCCTCCACATCCACCTGCTCACTCCACTTCCCACCTCAGAAAATATTCCAGGGCTTGGTGCCAATTCTGAATGACACTGTGTCTTCCCAAAACAACACCAGGCAAATGGGTGGATAAACGTTACCTGAGCTCTGGGTCTGGCATGTGGGCCACATTGCATCTTGTTAACATGGTGAGTGTCACAAACAAAGATTGGAAAGAAAAGTTTGTTTTGGGACAATTGTGAATGATTTGACATTGGAATTCTTAGGCCATTGGAATTGGTCGGCAAACTGCAGCTTGCAAGCCACATGTGGCTCTTTGGCCCTTTGAGTGTGGCTCTTCCACAAATAACACGTGAATAGTGCGATTTGAACTTCGTGGCCCATGCGCAGAAGTCGGTATTTTGTGGGAGAGCCACACTCAAAGGGCCAAAGAGCCACATGTGGCTTGCGAGCCGCAGTTGGCCGACCACTGCCTTAGGCAATACCATTGTGGGCTCCCAGATTGTCCCTCCAAGAAACAAAAACATGATATTAATCTTCACCCATATGACCCTAACCCCAGGATCTGAGGCCATCCCTTTAACACTACCATCTGCGCATAAGTGTTTTGTTTTTTAAAATCCTCACCTGAGGATATTTTTTCACTGATTTTAGATAGAGGAAGGGAGGGAGAAGTCTGAGGCCATCCCTTTAACACTACCATCTGCACATAAGTGCGATTGGTTGCCTCCCGCATGTGCCCCAAGTGGGGCCTGAGATCGAACCTGCAACCCAGGTACACATACATGGTCTTGACTAGGAACCGAACCCTCAAGCCTTCAGTGTGTGGGCCTACAGTCTAACCATTGAGTAACACCAGCCAGGACTGCACATAATTCCTTGAATCACACCTCCCTCACACAGCTGGTCTCCCAGAACAACTTCAAAGATAACACAAACATGTGATGATGAGGATAATTTATTCCCTGAACAGTGTCTTTCCCTGGATTCTAATTTTATCATCTCCCTAATCTATCCCAGGCTTACACTTCTCCCTTCCCCATGCCAGTGCATTTTCATGGCCCAGTGGCACTGATGCCCACTGTCTCACCAAGGTCCTGCTGGTCAGTGCATCAGCCCGAGAGAGCAACGGGCAGGTGGGCAGATAAATGGCACGTAAGCTTTGAACCTGACACACGAGACCACAACCCCTCTTTTCAGGTAATTCTAAGGGGTTTCTCTATTGTTCCCTCCAGACACCGTCCCGAACTCCTCCTCCCCATCGCATGCCCTTAACAGGCAAAACATAAAACTCTGATATCTCCCAAAGAAAGTTACTCTTCATACTACTGATTTCCTCACAGTTGATGGTACTTCCATTCCTACAGCTGCTGAAACCATACTGTTATGTTAACCCTGACTCCTACCTCTCTCTCTCTCTCAACCTTCAAATTAGAAATTCCAGGTTGTGCCCTGGCTGGGTTGCTTAGTTGGTTGGAGCATCGTCACAATAAACCAAGGTTGCTGGTTCAATCCCATGTCAAGGCACATAAAAGAATCATTAGTTGGATTAACTAATAATAATAATAAACCAAGGTTGCAGGTTCAATCCCATGTCAAGGCACATAAAAGAATTTTAGTTCTATATAATAAAAGGCTAATATGCAAATCGACCAAGCAGTGGAATGATAGATCACTATAATGCACACTGACCACCAGGGGGCAGACGCTCAATGCAAAAGCTGCCCCCTGGTGGTCAGTGCACTCCCACAGGGGAAGCACTGCTCAGCCAGAAGCTGGGCTCACAGCTGTGAGCGGAGCAGCTGTAGCAGGAGCCTCTAACTAAGGATGTCCGACTGCTGGCTTAGGCCCGCTCCCTGCGGGGACTGCGAGAGGGCGCAGGCAGGGCTGAGGGACCCCCCAAGTGAAAGAATTTCGTGCACCAGGCCTCTAGTCAATAAATAAAATAATTTTTAAAAATCCAAGTGCCCACATGTAAAATAGTGATCTAGAATCCAAATGCTTCTCCTACCTCCATGGCCACCCTCCTGGTCCAGTTAGTGTCACACTCACCCAGACTATGGCAGCAGCCCCTCCCTGGTCTCCTCCCACCTCCCTCGGACCATACCGCTCTCCATGCTGCCGCCACAGGGAGCCTAAGGAGACCTGGGTCAGATCCCCTCCCTCCAGGGCTGGCAAAGGTCCCATGGCCCCCACTACCTGCAGACAGACACCCAACTTGTCACAAAGATGGTCTAGTCCTCACTCCTGTCCCACTCTTCTCAGCTCCCACGAGAACAAAAGGACACCTGCGGGTCCCCAAACCAGCTCAACCCCACCTCTCAGACCCCACACATAGAAACCTAGGGCTGGGAGGGCCTCCCACCTCTCATTCCACTCGTTGCCAAAACCAGGGTCCACGTCATAAAGCCTCAGCCGTGGCCTTAGGACTCTGGGCTGAGTGTCCCCGGGGCCCAGGGCAGGAAGAGGGGCCGACAGCCCCAGGGGCACCACGACCTCAGAGGCCACCAGAGAGTGAGGCCCTGACAGGAGCCCCACAGCCCTGTCCCCTCAGCGGCTCTGCCCCCGCAGGAACCGGTGGGAACTAAAGGGCTGAGGGCCGGGCACCCACCCCAGGACCCAGGAGATCAAGCC